AAATGTAATTGTTTTATTACAATCGGCCTGTAGAGTATTCATAGTAATACAAAAACCCAGGAACTTAAGCGCTCAATATGGCTTCCACTAGTTACGTCACCAAAGTAAAAACAAAAAAGAAATCTTTACTATATTGCTGCCCAGACGTAAACAGAGTTCTTCCTCTTTGGTTAAGTAACTATTGATTTTTAACCTAAACAAGGGTGCCATTCATGGGTATCTATGACTACAACGTCACAGACAAGGGGTTGCCACATATGGATACATATACCAGTTGTTGCCATTCATCGGTGGCCATTCCTGGGTTGCCTTTCATCGGTTGCCATTCTTGGGTTGTCATTTGTGGGTTGTCATTCATTGGTTGCCATTCATAGGTTGCCATTTATTGGTTGCCATTCATAGGTTGTCATTCATTGGTTGCCATTCATAGGTTGTCATTCATTGGTTGCCATTCATAGGTTGCCATTTATTGGTTGCCATTCATTGATTGCCATTCATGGGTTGCCATTCATGGGGTGCCATTCATGGGTTGCCATTCTTGGGTTGTCATTCATGGGTTGCCATTCATGGGTTGCCGTTCATGGGTTGCCATTCATGGGTTGTCATTCATGGGTTGTCATTCATGGGTTGCCGTTCATGGGTTCCAATTCATGGGTTGCCATTCATGGGTTGCCTTTCTTGGGTTGTCATTCATGGGTTGCCGTTCATGGCTCGCCATTCATGGGTTGCCATTCATGGGTTGCCTTTCTTGGGTTGTCATTCATGGGTTGCCGTTCATGGGTTGCAATTCATGGGTTGCCATTCATGGGTTGCCGTTCTTGGGTTGTCATTCATGGGTTGCCGTTCATGGGTTGCCGTTCATGGGTTGCCATTCATGGGTTGCCATTCATGGGTTGCCATTCTTGGGTTGTCATTCATGGGTTGCCGTTCCCTGGTGTCATTATTACAACAACAACAAAAACAAAAAAAAGAAAAGAACAGAAAATGCGCAATTGCCAGGAACAGTGGGGGACAATCCTGCGGTAACAACAGACGCCAGAAAAGCACGCTATATCGGAAGCTAATGCCCGTGCCAGCAGCTGAGGCTGTTATAACCCTCTGAAACAAGCAAACACACACACACACTCTACAACAAGAACACATCCGCTATTTTAATGAAGGGTGTTCCGTTGTGAATATCACCTTTTAAAATTTGCTACCGACGCCTAATGATCCGTGAACGTCTACCTTACATCTTGAAGGACAGGCGCTCCGGAGGTCGTCCGTAAATGGCCTATTACCAGTCAGCGTTGGTGCGGTGTTCGAAATGAGAAGGGTGGAGGGGGGGCAGTCGGCGAACAGAAAGACGGTCACGGGTAAATTAAATTAATGGGAACGCTCACCGGTAAGGCGTCGCTTGTCATGAGCAGGGCTCCGACTAAGAAATTTGACGTCGCGCCTTCATGCAGTTTGAAATTAATGATTCAAAATCGTGTTCATGTTTTAAAGAAAAATTCCTTGCATTTCTAAACTAACGCCTTCCACTTTCATGTAATACAAGATAAAGCTCAGAGTGACTACTCAGTTAAAAAATGCAATGTATTTCAACTGTAATAATACTCTCTATTGCTGTAAATAATCATTTCTGGGTGTTATTTAACAAAAACAACAATAAGGTAATATAAACAAAATTTTGTGGGGTTCTTTTACACTTTCAAACATATATTAGAGCAGTGGTTCTCTACCTGTGGGTCGCGACCCTTTTCGGGGTCCAACGACCCTTACATAGGGGTTGCTTAAGACAATGGGACAACACATATTTATGAAGCAGCAACGAAAATATTTTCATGTTTGGGGTTCACCACAACACGAGGAACTGTATTAAAGGGATCGCGGCATTAGGACGATTGAGAACCACCGTATTAGAGGAAGGATTTCGGTACACTTTTGTGTAGGGCACATATCTTAAATAAAGCTTTATTAAATGCTGATTTGGGTTAAATCACTTACTTACAATTCTCCATACCACGCACACATTTACATTATACAGTTGTAAATAGAAATTAGTTTTTTTTAAAACACTCATGACTGTAAACACTTAGGTATCCCATAGCAACCTTTATGCACACCACTGAATTACGCGATAATTCTAATGAAATTATTGTAAGGTTTTGTAAGAGCTCAAAGAATAAAGCTTAATCTAAAATGCGTGCATCAAACAAAAATGAACCCAAAACCTTCCTCTAATAAATTTTTGAAAGCGCACCGTTCTGAATAAAAGAGATGATAAAAATGAAAGTCCCTCGAAACCATTTGAAAATATTTTTTTTTATAAAACTTAATCATCTACAGTTTACTCTTAGCCCTCTATATTTTACTCTTAACCCTGTACATTTTACTATTTTTTTAACTACAGCTAATTGAACAGAGGGATTATGACCAAACTTCCCAGGAAACATCTATAGGTCAGGAGGAACGACCTTGTCATCAGGAGGAATGACCTTGTCAAAATCGTTCGTAATACTTTTTATTGATCACTTTACAAACATGCAAACATATCAACACTGAGCTGTATTTAGTAAATTCTTAAATGTTTTAAAAACTATTACTTTAGTGAAGTGCCTTTGCCACTCCCAAAATTGACGTGTACACTTATAACGCATTGAAAGGTTGTTGTTTTTTTTCCCGAATACTAACCCGAGCAAAGCCGGGTATAATAGCTAGTTATTAATATAATCAACTTCTTCGAGATAGGGGATTTAATCCTGGCCTTATGTATCTTGCCAAGGGCTGTTAGCCGACACAGGCCTTAAAACTTAAAACAATGACGGAATCAAATTTATTTTCTTGATTTCGAAATTTTTGTTGAATTTCAGAGTTGTTTACCGTCATCTCATTTTCTTTTTTCTTTCCTTCTTATTACTATACAAAATCCCTATCCTAAACAATGAAGAACAACTTAACAAATAAACTAGCTTCACTCGAATACAAATTGCATAAATAAACTAGCTTCACTCGAATACAAATTGCATAAATAAACTAGCTTCACTCGAATACAAATTGCATAAATAAACTAGCTTCACTCGAATACAAATTGCATTTTAAGTTGCAAACATTTTATGACACACTTGAGCATAATTGATTTTAAATATGTAAAAAGAATTTCGTCTACATTTCATTAGCTTCATGACAGCTGTACGACATTTCGACGCCACGCATTGTGTTTGGATTTCTTTACAAAATAAAATATTCACCACACGCCGTTTTAGCTGCTGATGACGTACGATCTTTTTGTGTTCGGTCCTTACGCCTGGGTTAATAGATACGCAGCGAGGTGTGCCTGTTCACCATTGTTCCATGACGGCCACAGAGTGTTTAAAAAAAATGATTGGTCGCCAATGATTCAAACTTTAGAGGAAATTGTTTTCTCGTAAAAATCAATGTCTTGTGAATCGTCATCCTCTGTGGTTCAGAGTGTTGAAGGTCCACAAGTGCATACGTGTGTGGTTTGGACATTTTTCAGGCGAGAGACCTGCAGGGAGTCAATGGGGTCGGCTGGCCACGGGCTTTGTCCAGTGCGGAGTTGGGGCGCCCAGCAAGAGTGGGAGCCATTGCAGAAACTGTACAGGCCCGTCCTTGGATATGGTTTGATAATGATTGTTGGATGGTACCAAGCTCACTTTCCATTCCTGAACATGTTTTGATAAGGACTGTGTGATTGCACCAAACTCACTTTCCATCCCTGGACATGGTTTAATGATTGTAGGATGGTGCCAAGCTCACTTTCCATCCCTGGACATGGTTTGATGATTGTAGGATGGTGCCAAGCTCACTTTCCATCCCTGGACAAGGTTGAATGATTGTAGGATGGTGCCAAACTCACTCTCCATCCCTGGACACGGTTTGATCATTGTAGGATGGTACCGAGCTCACTTTCCCTCCCTGGACACGGTTCGATGATTGTAGGATGGTGCCAAACTCACTCTCCATCCCTGGACACGGTTTGATGATTGTAGGATGGTGCCAAGCTCACTTTCCATCACGAGATAAAGGCGATGTGTTTGTATTATTACCTTCTTTAAACAACACAACGGCTATAGTTTAAGAATCCCACTTTGGTTTGTCCGTCTATTTCAATCTGTGTGTTTGATGTCCTGTGATGTTTTGTACCAACGGATGTTTTGTACCAACTGATGTTTTGTACCAAAGGATGTTTTGTACAAACTGATGTTGTTGTTTTTTCTGGGTCCGCAGCCGCTTCCTAAAACTGAATATTGCTAGTCACCGGCCATGTAAATTTGCTAGTCACCGGCCATGTAAATTCAATGGTAGGTCAATTATAAATTTATTTGTATACTAAAAGCGTGATTGTTGATTCTATGTTGGCAGTTATGCATGAGGAGCCCAATTAAATGAGTGGTTACTTTTACTTCCCCTTGACCAATTTTTATGGAATTTGGAGAGACCGCAACCCACTACAAATGTCAAGGGGGAAAAGGGCGCGGGGGGTACACATATTTCTAAAGCCATCAACTAAAAAGGTTAAGGGGATGCAACTATCTTTACAGCTATCCACTGAAAAGGATAAAATGGGGGGGAGGGGGGTGGGTGCAAATATCTTTAAAGCCATCAACTAGAAAGGTTAATGTGACTAATATCTCTTGGAGCTATCAACCACAAAGGGTTAAGGTGGCAAATAACTGTTTTGATTTTGTTAACCCTGATCAGCCGAAGTATTTTCACATTGCTTTAAGTAACTCATTTTTTTCATTGCGGGCTAGATGCGTCTCGAAAGACCTTCCAAGTGCTGGATTATTTTTTTTTCGAGGAATGTACTTATTTTTAATGATTATCTATGAAAGCCTTTGAACAATAATGACCAAAGTGTACAATTTTCAAAGTAATAATACTCACATAGCATTTTTAAAATTATTCCACTGATTATTCGAGAATTGAACTCGGAACAAATGTTCGAAGACCATCTTTAATGACGTATATGACATACATAAAAAAAACATCATGCATTCCACCAGAGCAAAATATTTTATCATTTAGATAGCGGCTTACTGCGCCATTATGTTTCTCACCCTTGATATGAACTCATCGTGGCCAGGGGAAAAGTCCGAACTCATTAGAACGTTTCATTTCTACAACTTTAACAATTGAATACCATATGAAACATCAGGAAACACGCACTGCTAAGGGCTTTGTGTCTGTGGAGCTTAGTGGTTGGGGGGGGGGCTGTATGGTTGTGGGGCCGTGGGGCTGTGGGGTCGTGAAAGTAAAAGCTGAAGACCTTCTGGTCGGACTTGATATGAACTCATCGTGGCCAGGGGAAAAGTCCGAACTCATTAGAACGTTTCATTTCTACAACTTTAACAATTGAATACCATATGAAACATCAGGAAACCCGCACTGCTAAGGGCTTTGTGTCTGTGGAGCTTTGTGGTTGGGGGGGGGGGCTGTATGGTTGTGGGGCCGTGGGGCTGTGGGGTCGTGAAAGTAAAAGCTGAAGACCTTCTGGTCGGGATCACTGTTTCATTACCCTAACTGGTCAAAGGGGTACAGCTAGTTTGTTACCTTGTGACCTCGTTTGTCTGGTTAAAAGAGCTTTAGCCACGAAGGCGTTCACGATGGTAATCCAAGGCCAAGGTCAGTTATTTCACCCATTCTTTAATTTCAAATCGTTGTAGAATTAGAAGACAGAAAAAAAAAATGTAAAAAAAGACTGTTGGGGCACACTGTTGAGGCGCACTTTTGGGGAACACTGAATGGGCACACTGTTGGGGCACACAGTGGGAGCATACTGTTGGGGCACACAGTTGGGGCACACTGTTGGTAAAGTGACAAGTTCGAATTTTCAAATTTATTTTCAGAAATTGGCAATCTGAAAATAAGATCTTGTTTTAAATATAATCTTGAAATTTCAAGGATACGTTTGTGTGTGCTTACATTTTGATCTCCATTGCTATTCCACCACAGCCGGCAAAATAATTTTGCCCATCATTTTTATGGAATTATTAATTTTCATTTTCTCCTCTACTCAGGTTCAAAGTTCAATAAAATTTTAAGCAATGCCGCCCTGGACATTTGCTATGAGGGTGTGGGCCCCCTACCCCAACCCCGGTATGTGATGATAATGACGGTTCCCTTTCATTGGCACATGACGTATGTATCTGATGAGACTTATGGACACTCATGTTGCCACGTTCTCATGATTAAAGTCAGTCGGTATTACGACATCAGCCTACCGGAAGGCGAAACATTTTTAAAAGCTATACTTGTTCTCTCTCTCTCTTTTTTTTTTTTTCCAAATATTAAAAAAAAAACAATATTAACCCACAAAGCAAAGAACAGAAACAATATTTTTATTTTACACTATTTAACCAAATACCGAAGGTGGCTTAAGTGCAAGCGTGTAAATACTGCAATGAGACGAACTATTCGTCTGCCACACATTTGTAACAAATCTTTAACAACCATTGTTATTAAGGTTAGTCTGGTGTGCAATAATACTTTCCTCGAAGATTGTCGTATAGCTGAAATTTAAACATATATATATATATATATATTCTTAATGTGTTATCACAAATTAAAATTGTCTAGGTATATATGAATGGCTCTAAAGCTGTGTTCAATAGGCGCGCAAGATACAATTCCAAGACTTTGGCACTAATATGGATTCTTATAAAGTACGTAACTTGAGAGGATGTTTTTGTTGCAGTAACTCCAAGAGATGTGAAGTTCACGCATTGCCGCCGCCATCGTTTGACAGGGGATTTCTGGTATGTCAACAACAATGTTCTTTAAGATCAAAGAAATTACCATTTAAATTAAAAGATAATTATTTTAATTTGAAAAAAAAAATTATTATCATCCTCCGATTGACTTAAAAGAATTCACGAAAAAAACATCTGTCACTTTGTGTTAACATTACATTTAAGTTACAACAATAAAGTGCAAACAGATGCCCAACAAAAATTTCAGTCCTCATCGTGGCTCAGAGGGACGACATGAGACACATGAAATTAGTGGGTAAAAAAAAACGGTAACACCTCTATACAATCACAGTCAGATGACTGCACGTACCACAGTCGTGATTACAAGGCAACAAGGATCAGTGGGTTAGAGACTTTAAACAGTCCGAACAATAATTTTGGCATTTAAATAATTATAATTAAAATATGTCTTTTATTCTTTTATATTACAAAAAAATTTACATAAGTAATTGTTTTTTTTGTTTGTTGTTGTTGCAGTTTTATAACATAAAAAAATAATGCTTATAAGATTTGAAAATAACCATCTGTTGTTCTTTTTGTTGTTAGTCTCCCTTCACTGCCAGCCTATTTTGTATCAAATGTTGCACATAATTTTTGACGTAATCCAAGACATTGAAAAGTGCAACCAGGATAAAATGTTAAAGAAACAATCGGAGATGGTAAATACGGCGGCGACATTCCGTTTTCACACATTCTAATTGTTGATGGCTAATTTTAGACTGAAATAAACGAATGGCTAGTCTTAGTCAAGTGTTGCAGGTACAATACTGGCAATAAAGAAAATGGTTACCAATATTTAAAAATAACAATAATAACAAAATCAACGTCTCATTGAAAACAACACAAACTATACATGAAACTCTAACTTATGGACTTGGCTAGTTGGAAAAGAGTAAGGAAATACGAATGTTCGTCCCAACATTATCAATCAGAATTATTTGAAGGGGGGAATGCATCTCCGAGGTAATGGGAGTCGCTTAGTCACTTCCTTGTTTGGTCACGTGATATGAGTAAGTCATCACTAGGCTGCTACACACAACAAAAGATACTTCATCAGTGCTTCCCCAATGTCATGTTAATTAAAAATTTTACCTTTCGAAATATTCAGGAATACATGCGTTTTTTAAATGAAATCCATAAATGTGACAATAAATATACGTCAGTTATAATTAAAGGAAGAAAGTTATTTCAAGAAAAATTTGTGAGCGATATTCGATGGGAACTATCAATACTATTATCGGCAGGATGTTGTTGAGCTCCGTGCGTGCTCATGACGTCATTTGCGTTTTTATTCAATATTGATGCAGGAGTCATTCCCCTTTGTTTATTTTATTGTTAATTTTCATTGGACGAAATGTAGTGTAGTTGTAGTGTGTATCGGGCTACTGTTGTCAAGCACTAGTGTGTTGTATACAATATACCGGAAATCTTACTCGTTTTTACTCATATCACGTGACAAAATAATTGACTAAGCGACTCCCATTGAATGTGATTTGTTGTTACCTAACCTGTCCTTCTTCCAGGATTTCAACCCGCAATGGCCTTCGGGCCACTTTCTTTTCAGAGCTGAGCTTATTTCAGCAAAATATCGATGAACTTAATGGGGGAACTTGACCCCTTTGTTGGATTTGCATTTCAATTTTATCCCGTTTCTGAGAACTAATAAATCAATCAAATCATGGAAAACTAAAACGATCAAATTAGTGAAGGTAATAGAATTTAATAAACTTGTAACGCAATTATTAGTGCATTTACAACACAATGGCTGAAGTGTAAACTATGTGAGTAAAAGTCATCAAGATGTGCTGGATGTCAAGGTCAACACTCACTAGACTTCCGGTTCCGATAGCAGCCAAATGTAAACAGATGAATGCCGCATACATTTTCAGATTAAAATATCTTGAAAAAGAACTACCAGGCCCAATCAGTACTTAAGTCGTAAACGATTTTTAGCTTATTTTGAGTTCACGTGAATAAAATTTGATGGACTTCACAGTAAAATGTAAAAAAAAATAGCTGTTAATGTATTCATTTTTTTTAAATAAAGCTTTTCGATGGACATTAAAAGTAAAGAGTAAGTGAGAAAACTTGATTGAACCTCTCTTCCATAAAACAAGGCTAAATATCACAGCTGTCTTGGCAGGAGCTTGTTGCTCTTTCGGTCTCTCTAAAAGAACGAGGCATTGAATAGCGTCTAAGAAACTTGTTTTTAAAATAAATTAAACATTTGGACGACATTTTCGTTCATCTAAAAAGAACACTTCAAGAAATCAAACTTGTTGATGTGACAAAAGCTTTGAAATAGATTTGAATAGTTCCGTTGTTTTTTTCTTGATCGTTCTCCAGACTTACAAAAAAACCTAACGAAATTCATAAACATTCCTTTGTTTTGTTTTTAAATCGCCTAAAGATGGGTCGAAAAATATTGTCTGTGAAACAGGTAAAACGTGAAGTTCCTCTCAGACTGTTTCCGTGTAACACTCGCGAAGTTCTTCTGATCTTTCAACGAGGCTATCCCGTGTAGTTCGTCACCCGTATATTAGAGAAGCAGTAACTGCAAGCCTCACACAGCGGCTGGAGATAGCACTGCAGACAAGTGCCGTAGAACTTCTGAAGACATCCGCAGTTGATCATGTAGGCCCTCATGCACGGGGTGACGTACCACACGTGCCAGAAGGTGATGTAGGCGAACTCGCATCCCCAGCATATGGCCAGCGGGATGCCGCATAAGAGGGTCAAGGTCTTGTAGCAGCAGCCTTTCCAGCAGTTGAAGCACTTGTAGGCGCAGTTCCACACGCAGTCGAAAGAATGGGCGCCGTCTGGCTCGGCGAGGACTTCTTCAAACAGAACCTGTCAAGTAAACGAAACACGGAGCGTTAACTTGGCTGGCTACAGACTATTGGTTCTCAACCTTCCTAATGATTCGACCCTTTATTACGGTTCCTCATGTTGTGGTGACCCCCAACCATAAAATTATTTTCATCCCACTTCAAAAAATATGTGTTTTTCAATGGTCTAAGGCGACCCCGTGTAAGGGTCGATCAACCCTCAAAGGTGTCGCGACCTACTGATTGAGAACCGTTGCTATAGGCACTGAGCACCAATCTACCTAATTTTTAGCCCCGAAAACCAAAAAGCCTTGTTATTTGTGACGTCCTCTGCATTTTGTATTTAACTCATACTATTAAACTAATTACATTTGATTATTGTATAGCAAGAATAGAACACGTTATTTTGGAGATTTTTTAAATACTGCCAAAAGTACCGTCATGAACAACGTAACAGACGCCTTAAACAAATGCTCAACATCATTTAAAATCCGTTTTCCAGCAAAGCAAAGTAGAAGTTTGTATAATTATGTGCATGGACTCGCCAGACGCAAAACGTGATCACATCTTAGTCGAGGCGTAGTCTGGCTCAATGTGTAAGCGATTCTTTCAAATACAAATGCTTACAATTAAAATCAACGGAAAAAAAAGCTTTAAAAAAAAAAGTAAAAGGTCAATGACAAGTGAATAAAAGGGCTTTGTTTCAATCGCATCAAGGCTAATAAATTAAGACTTTTTAAAAATCATTTACATTAACTTCGTTTGTGTGTCTTTCAGGCAAAACAATCGGACGGCTAATTCGACCCCATTTCCGTTAAAATTAAATTTTTATAACACCTCGAGTTAAAATATTACTAAAACATCAAAGTGCCATTGGTATCTTCCTATGCATTGGTAAGTACCTAAGATTTGTACCAACTAAAATAGTTCTGCCTACCCTACAAATTGTACCAACCCTTTTGTGTAGCGCCTCCCCCCCCCCCCAAACTGGCTTGTGCATACTTGAACATTTGAAGACACCAATCTCTTTGAACATTTCAGACATTGTTACATACCCTGACATGGTCGTTGAGTCCGTTCGGATCCCTGTTGACCATATCCAGCTCGTACTNAAAATTTTATAACACCTCGAGTTAAAATATTACTAAAACATCAAAGTGCCATTGGTAACTTCCTATGCATTGGTAAGTACCTAAGATTTGTACCAACTAAAATAGTTCTGCCTACCCTACAAATTGTACCAACCCTTTTGTGTAGCGCCTCCCCCCCCCCCAAACTGGCTTGTGCATACTTGAACATTTGAAGACACCAATCTCTTTGAACATTTCAGACATTGTTACATACCCTGACATGGTCGTTGAGTCCGTTCGGATCCCTGTTGACCATATCCAGCTCGTACTCCGGCATGTTGGTTTTGCTGGTATGTTTTAATCCGACTCCACAAACCAAACGCAGACACTTACACTGATACGCTATACAGCACGTGCAAACTTCTCTCCCGGAAACAGACCACCTCTAACAGGTTCAAAAATGAAAACTAATTTATATCAAAACTTTTTTTTTGTGGGGGGTCCTTTTTTTTCCCCTTTAATTTTCCCTGACAACAGTTCCCTGTCGTAGCTATGTCAACATACCAACTGCAGCACTCGTCTTGGACAGGAACAGTTCATCGATTTTATCGAATGGCCAGCAATCGGTCCACGCCCCATCCCATCTATCCGATAATCGAGATGATTCGATCTCAGCCCGCCTAGCCTCGGTGAGCAGTCAATAGTTTTCAAACACCTTTCGATATTTTTGGTTGGGGAGAATACAAATGCCGGGAAAGTCACTGCACCCAAAATCAGCGAAGCAGAAAAATTATGTCCGTATTCTGGCGTTTGAAAGTATGGAAGTCATCACATCCATGGACTTCATCACAGCCATGGACTTCATCACAGCCATGGACTTCATCACAGCCATGGACTTCATCACAGCCATGGACTTCATCACAGCCATGGACTTCATCACAGCCATGGACTTCATCACAGCCATGGACTTCATCACAGCCATGGACTTCATCACAGCCATGGACTTCATCACAGCCATGGACTTCATCACAGCCGCTAATCCATAGCCTGAGCTTGTATAGCAATGCAAAGATAATTTTTTAAAAAAAGAACAGAAAAGAAGACAACTCACTGGGTGTTTGACCTGCCAATTTAAAGGGAGGAGATTCGATTATCAAGAATAGAAGTCACATCTCTCTGAACAGGCTCTTATCTCAATAAGCATAAGCATGTGAATACTCTGTAGCCACGTAGAATGCTTGGTTACAATTTATCACTGAAATGTTTACTAGAGCTAATTCTTGTTGTAACTAATGCAAACTCGAGAGTGACATGATTATGTTGATACTGTCTCGTTCTATAAGAGAAAAGTGGAAATCTTCAAGGAAATGAAACAGAGAGGAGTAGGGAAACGTGTTTAATAATACACGATAAACATAAGGTCAAGGTCCAAACTGGCAGTCACCTGTCAAGTGTACCCCAGCAGCCACCCGTCTTGTGCACCCCAGCAGCCACCCGTCAATGTGTACCCCAGCAGCTACCCGTCATGTGTACCCTAGCAGCCACCCGTCATGTGTACCCCAGCAGCCACCCGTCAATGTGTACCCCTGCAGCCACCTGTCATGTGTACCCCTGCAGCCACCTGTCATGTGTACCCATGCAGGCACCTGGCATGTGCACCCCAGCAGTTACCCGTCATGTGCACCTCAGCAGCCACCTGTCAATTTGTACCCCTGCAGCCACCTGTCATGTGCACCTCAGCAGCCATCCGTCAATGTGTACCCCTGCAGCCACCTGTCATGTGTACCCATGCAGGCACCTGGCATGTGCACCCCAGCAGTTACCCGTCATGTGCACCTCAGCAGCCACCTGTCAATTTGTACCCCTGCAGCCACCTGTCATGTGCACCTCAGCAGCCATCCGTCAATGTGTACCCCTGCAGCCACCTGTCATGTGTACCCATGCAGGCACCTGGCATGTGCACCCCAGCAGTTACCCGTCATGTGCACCTCAGCAGCCACCTGTCAATTTGTACCCCTGCAGCCACCTGTCATGTGCACCTCAGCAGCCATCCGTCAATGTGTACCCCTGCAGCCACCTGTCATGTGTACCCATGCAGGCACCTGGCATGTGCACCCCAGCAGTTACCCGTCATGTGCACCTCAGCAGCCACCCGTCAATTTGTACCCCTGCAGCCACCTATCATGTGCACCTCAGCAGCCACCTGTCAATGTGTACCCCTGCAGCCACCTGTCATGTGTACCCCTGCAGCCACCTGTCATGTGTACCCCTGCAGCCACCTGTCATGCGTACCCAAGCAGGCATCTGGCATGTGCACCCCAGCAGCCACCCGTCATGTGCACCTCAGCAGCCACCTGTCATGTGTACCCCTGCAGCCACCAGTCATGTGTACCCTAGCAGCCACCTGGCATGTGTACCCAAGCAGCCACCTGGCATGTGCACCCCAGCAGCCACCTGTCATGTGCACCTCAGCAGCCACCTGACATGTGTACCCAAGCAGCAACCGTTCATGTGTACCCAAGCAGCCACCTGTCATGTGTACCACAGCAGCCACTTGTCATGTGTACCCAAGCAGCCACCTGTCATGTGTACCCCAGCAGCCACCTGTCATGTGCACCCCAGCAGCGACGTGGCATGTGCACAATGGAGGTTGATGCTCTTAACCTCAAGGTTTCGTCCACGATCATTACAAATAAAATGCATTCAGCCACCTCTAAGGGTGGGGGAAGACTTTAGCCATTTCATATGCTTAGTCCCCACTGCAGAGTTCATTTTTAGATTCCATATTACGTTATAAACTCTTTTGAAATGTAATTATATTAATAATTTTCCCTTGTAAATTAGGCAACTCTGGTATAAGGGAATTTTTCTTCAGAAATATAAAAAGATCATCTATGGCTGATCTTTGATTAGTTATACGAGTCTGAGTAAATCTAGGGTGGCCAACATGAGGCCCGTAAGCCCGGGAGTCACGTTGCGGCACGCTGAGCTAGGTCAAATAAACTTAAATGTTAACTTTATTGTACATAGCACCAAACGAACATTAAATCATGAGGCGTTTGAATCATATATTTTTAAATCATAGCTAGGAGAAACATGAATATCTAGAAATTTTTGGAAAAATTAATTGGTTTTGAGCTATTTTATATATTCTGAATTTTCGGGACTGGTGCACTGCTCCGGAATCAAACAGAAACTCGTTAATCTTCCCCCCAGACTGCGACGAAGTCACGACAAACAGTTCCGGCTGGTAAAAACAAGAACAAAGTACAGAAGCTCCTCATTCCTGCCGAAGACAATAGGGGACTGGAACAAGCTTCCAAAAGCAACAGTTGAGGCGGCTACACTCGATACATTTGTGTCTATTGCCTCCTGTATTCCAACCCCCAGTTCATAACACCACTGCTG